TTTGTATCAATTCAGCATTAGTGTTCAAGTTTACATTTTAAGTAAATTACTGCATACTCAGTTGTAATTTCGTCTATTATCACATGATTTTTCTAACGTTTATCCGCATAAAATCACTGTGGCTTTATATAAAATGAAAATATGATGAAAAGCAACCTCCATAATATCATCGGTTGAAGTGCAACTATTTGCCTTACTTAAGTATTAAAGACAATAACTGACCAAATACTTTACTTGAAATTATAGGAGAATTATTTGCATTTGCATGAAACAACACGGATTTTGAATAGATTAAGTCTAAGCACATCCATTTTTGTTGGAAGGCATCTAGTTCAAACATCATGGAGTTGCTTTCATCCATTCTCCACTTTATGTAAAAACTATTAAACCACATGGAGTTATATAAATATTTTGAAAACTTGAGGAAGTTGCGTATCTGCTTTAATAGTAACTTAGCCTTATATTTGAGAAAACTTCCAGCATAATCGAGCGTTAAAATGAACATCATCTGTTCTACAGGTGCAAACACCAAATGGTTTTTAAAACAGATGGAGGCACATAAATTTCTAAACCTCAAAACTCCATTCCCAAAAAGAAAGAAAAAACCTACAGTACTGTCTTTGTGAAAAATGTGAAAAGACCCCATCACTGGACCACCAGTGCAGTGTCTTGGTGAAAAATCACAAAATCTGAAGATTTTCTCAACCATACATTTATTTCTTTCCCAAAGAAAAAGTACCTTGAGAAGGTGTGGTTATGGCAGCGACAGGTGCCTGTTTCCAAGCAAATTATTGTACCAAGTTTCCTAGTTCATACAGGACACTCTCTGTGATTGTGAGAAGTCACATTACTGGATCATCTGTGAACTTTGGAAGACCTTTGCAAAAATTCAGTATGGCCTTGAGGAACAGCACTGCTAAACTTCATCTTTTATTTCTCCCGTTCTTCACACCAAGCCACATAATCCCACTAGTTAATGCTGCCAGGCGATTTGCTGCTCAGGGCGTTAAGGTTACCGTTCTCTCCACCAAACACAACACAGTCCTGTTTCAATCCTCCATTGATCGTGCCATCGAATTAGGCCATGATATCTCCGTTCACAACTTGAAGTTTCCATCAGCTGAAGTGGGACTACCTGAAGGAATTGAAAATTTCAGCGTGGCAACCACACAAGAAATGCTTGCCAAAGTATTCAAGGGTTTGATGCTTCTCCAAAATGAAATGGAAGAACTTATTCAATGTCTTAGTCCTCACTGTATTATCTCGGACAAGCACTTTTTTTGGACGTGTGATTTAGCCAAGAAGCTGAAGATACCGAGAATCATGTTCTATCCAGAAAGCTTCATTTCTCATTGTTTGTGCCACAACCTTCGGCAATATGAGCCTCATAAGTCAGTCAACTCAGATTCTGAGAGTTTTGATCCCTGGTTTACCAAACAAGATTGAAATGAAGAAGTCCCAATTGGAGGATCACATGAAGGAAAAAACACCGTACTTTGAAATGATAGTAAAGCCAATCAAAGAGTCAGAGCCTAGGAGCTTCGGCTTGCTTTTTGACACTTTTTATGAGTTGGATTCTCAATATGCTGATTACTTTGAAAGGGTAAGAGGGATAAAGTTTTGGACCATTGGACCTCTTTTCTACTTCTCTAACAAGGAGAAAACTGACACTACTGCCGATGGGAAGGATAGTTGCTTAAACTGGCTTGATACTCAGGGGGCCAACCAAGTCCTCTACGTTTCTTTTGGAAGTATTACAAGATTCTCAACCGCCCAACTCAGGGAAATTGCATTAGCTCTTGAGGCTTCGAACCAACCGTTCATTTGGGTTGTCAGGAAGGGAGAAAATGACCAAGATAATCAACAAGAGAGCTGGCTGCCAGATGGTTTTGAAGAAAGAATAACTGAAGGAAACAAAGGTCTGATCATTAGAGATTGGGCTCCACAGCTAAAGATCTTGAACCATCCAGCAGTTGGAGGGTTTATGACTCACTGTGGTTGGAATTCGACGATGGAAGCTATGACTGCTGGGGTGCCATTGATTACTTGGCCAGTGTTTTCTGAACAGTTTTACAATGAGAAACTTGTTCAGGTTTTGAAAGTTGGAGTCAGTGTTGGGGCAGATCATTGGAACTTATCTCCAACTAACGAGGGTCCTGTAGTGGAATGCAAACAGATAGAGGAAGCAATAAGCCTATTGATGAGCAACTCCGAAGAAAGTCAGGAAATCAGAAAGAGGGCAAAGAAGATGACAGCATTGGCAAAGAGGGCTGTGGAAGAAGGTGGCTCTTCCTATCAAAATCTGCTTGATTTAATTGATGCATTAAAAGCATGTGCTTTTGGTATCAAGAGTTAGTTGTCCAAGGAATAGTGCTATTATGTTCTTCAAATAAAATGTTACGTGTCAGAATACTACTATGTTTCAGCAATGCGAATAATTAGAGACGCTTAATCTATGGATCAACTTGTAAAGCATGTGATATATTTTACAATCACTTGGTATAATGATGTATGATTATATACGAAACGAAAAACAATAGAGAGTAGTGCATAACCGCGTAAAAAAAAATTCATGCATGGTATTCCTAGATTATGAATTTATGATGGCGGTATCTAAAAAGTAAAAATGTTCAATGTTTCAAGTTTACACGTCACACACCGTTGTAATTTGTTACTATATCTTAGATGCATAAAATTTTAAAATAAATTTTACATACACTGATAATATATACACTTTTACGGTTGGATGCATGATACATGAACAAAATTTGGAATTTAAATTTAAATTCAGATAAATTGTCATGCGTCTAATGATAATGGTGTCTACACTGATATTGTATAAAAGATTAAACCATAACTTTAAGCCCAATGGTGAAATGTTAAATCGGCAACATTTTAAATGTCTACTTTCATACTATCAAACAATCTCTTTAACGAATAATAAAAACAAAACCTACCATTACAGAGATTACTTAAAAATTTCACTCTAAAAGCACATAAATTTCCCTAACCACTTGTTTCCTCGATAATTTGATCCAGTACTAACATGTGCCTAGGCATAAAGTGTCTATTAGGTCTTTAATATAACATTCTTAAGGAAAATACAATGATAAAAAAATAGGAAAATTTGTCAAATTGGTCCCTAACATTTACCAAAAACACTTTTTTAGTCCTTAACATATAAAATCAACCAAAATGATCCTTCACATTTAAATTATGAGCCAATTTGGTCCTATTGCTCGTTTTTGCTCATTTCTCCTGCTAAAAATAGTATGCTCCCCTCACGTGGTCATATTTTTAGGGGCAAAACCGAAAAACACATTTCATTACCGGTCGAAAGAAGCCATCTTTCCTTCATCTAATCACCTCACTAACCCATGAAATTGAAGAGGGAAAATACAGTAGCAAGAAATTGGGAAGAAGAAGCTGACCTTTGAAGAGTAAAATGGATCCAAACGGGTGATGTCTTTGTGGAAAGGAATCCATCATTGTGACTTCTTGGAAACCTGCAATCAGATACTTACAAAATAGTTGTAATACTTGGGGAGGGGGGTGGGAGGGTGAGGCATCTGATTTTTCGTTGGTTGGGGGAAGGGGAAGGGGAAGAAGAGATAGAGAGAGGTAGTTACTCTTGGCGCTGGAGGGATTTGAGGATGGAAGCTTTGGAAGACTCGATCTCCCATCCATGTATCCGAAGTCCAACCCGCCCGTCCGGCAGCAACTCCGCTCCGGCTTCTTTCAGTTCTTTCTGATCTGCCTCCCACTCCATGCCCCCTACCTCACAAAACAAGCACCGTCACGATTTATGTCTAGTCCTGTTCCAGATTCCGCAACCCCCCTTCTGCTGGGCTGGCGACTGGAGCTGGTGTTCTACTTCCACAGGGATGGTTTCCGAACGGCGATGGATTCCAGCTACCGTTTTTTGTGAAAGGTCAGAATCGTCATTGCATCTTGTTTGTGTCTCTATGTGTGTGTGTACATGCCCTCTTAATTTTCTTCACAATTTTCTAGCCAAACCTTCAATCTTTTCCCAATCACACCCTACAGGTTTGTCGTCATCATCATCGACAGTACATTTCCAAGTTATGCTTGTTAATTTGGGGATGCAATTAGGGTTTCTTCAAACTGTAATTTGAGGGCCAAAGGTGAAATGTGTATTTTGGTGCTGGTCCCCTATCCTTTTACCTTCAACCGGTAATGAAATGTGTTTTCCGGTTTTGCCCCTAAAAATATGACCACGTGAGGGGGGCGTGCTATTTTTAGTCGGAGAAATGAGTAAAAACGAGCAATAGGACCAAATTGGCTCATAATTTAAATGTGAAGGATCATTTTGGCTGATTTTATATGTTAAGGACTAAAAAAGTGTTTTTGGTAAATGTTAGGGACCAATTTGGCAAATTTTCCAAAAAAAAATAAGATCACAAATTGATGTGGTACCTTTTCTTCAATTGGCTTAGCTAATATAGAGTATCCTAACATTGAGGAAAGCTACAAGGACTTAGACCCTGTTTGATAACGCAATCTAGCACTTAAACTTAATGTATTTAGATCTTAATATATATTCAGACGCGTTTGATAATAAAAAATTGAACATCTGAATTAATTAGGTGCCACTGAATTTCTTAGGCAAAACTTGTTTCCAACAATAAGTGATAAGCTATTTACTTATCATTGAATGTGATATACACTCAAATATATTTGATTTAATATTTAACAATTCAATAATTTAATAAATTCAGATTTCAGTTTTATCAAACACACCCTTAATTTAGTTGAAATGGTGTAGATAACTTTATGTGCTGATTGATTGAATGATATTGTATATTTTCTGTTTCTATAATTAACCTTCTATAAACATTGGGGCAGTGCAGGCATTTCCTCATTCTTAAAGGATTGTATTTCTTCCCATATAATTTTTTTTTCAAAATTACCTCATAAAACTCGACCGTTAGCATCATTTGTTATAGTAGGCGCCAAAACGCCAACGGTTTTTCAAACGGATGGAGGCACCTATACTACTTAACCTCGAAAAAGTCCCATTTTTGCCTAAACAAGTCCCAGCCCACGATTCAATACGCTGGAATTCAGTGATAAAACATCAAGCAAAGCTGAAAAATGACAAAGCAATACTTACTACATACGCCCATATGGAAGCTTTGGGCATCTTGCCTAATAGTACAACATTGCCTCTGATTTTCAAGGCTTGTGCGAATTTGCAAACCCTTGAGAGAGGCAAGAAGATACAAAAGGATATGATGGGTTCCCCTTTGATCAATGACATCCGGGTTGGGACTAGTCTTGTTGATTTTTATAGCAAATGTGGCTGTCTGGAAGATGCTTATTACGTATTCGATGAAATGCCAAAAAGGGATGTCATAGCCTGGAATGCGATGATTTTGGGGTGCGTGCAGTGCATGGAGTATGAGGCAGCGTTATTTCTGTTCATGGAGATGCAAGAGGAGAATTTGAGGCCTAATTCTAGGACGGTTGTTTCATTGCTTAAGGCATGTGGTGAGCTTTCAGAGCTGGGCCTTGGGAAAGGGATCCACGGGTATTCTTTGAGGAATGGACTTATGGAAATGAGCAGTCATGTGGGTAGTGCTTTAATTAGTTTCTATTCAAGATTTGACATGACAACTGCTAATCATGTTTTCAGATCGTTGGGTTCAAGGAGCACTGTTAGTTGGAATTCGATGCTTTGTGGGTATTTTGATGCCGGTCATTACTTGAAAACTGTAGATCTTTTCCTCTGGATGCTCAAGGGGGGGAAAGAATATGATCATGTTACTGTTCTAGTTATTATTCAGGCCTGTGCGGAACTGGGACTTATTGAGTTGGGAATCCAAGTCCATCAACTTGTAATAAAACATGGCTTCAGTAAAGATCTGCACACACTAAATGCATTGATGAGGTTCTACAGCAGCATGGGGTGCTTGAAATGTTCATTTGATTTATTTATCTCTGTTCCTAACAAAGATGTTGTGCTGTGGAATTCTATGATTTCAGCATGCATTGATAACAGCTTGAATGATGAAGCAATTAAAATGTTCACTGAGATGCAAATAGAAGGCATTAGACCAAATGACAGTTCTATTGTTAGCATGATAAACTTATTTGCAGGTTTGGAAAAAGGATTCACAAATGGAAAAAGCTTGCATGCTTATGCAATTAAGTATGGAATGGAGGCCTTTACACTCTGTCGAATTGCTTTGTTGAATATGTATGGAGTTTTAAATTGTGCTGAAGATGCCTTGAACATTTTCTCCGAGACAAATGATTCAGATGTAGTTTCTTGGAACACTTTAATTGCTGCATTGGCTCATAATGGATTAAGAAGCCAAGTATTCTTATTCTTTAGGCAGATGCAGGAATCAGATGTCAAACCAAATGGTCACACAGTAATTTCCATTCTTGCTGCTTGTGATGATGATAGCTTTCTGAACACTGGAAGATCTTTCCATGGTTATGTAGTAAAAAATGGTCTGGAAGTAGATGCAGCACTGAATGCCGCACTGACTGAAATGTACATGAATTGTGGTGATGAGGCAAACTCTAAGTATCTGTTTGAGGGCTTCAGAAACAAAGATTTGATCTCTTGGAATGCCATGATTTCCAATTACGTGAACAACAACCGACCTCAAAAAGCTTTGTTGCTTTTCCATCGCATGATTTCGGAAGTTGAACCCAATTTCTCAACAGTAGTAAGTGCTCTTTCTGCATGTGCATATCTAGCAGAACTTTCTCAAGGCCTTTGTTTACATGCCTACATAACACGAAGGGAATCATTAATGGGTTTTCATTTGCCTGTGGCAAATGCTTTAATAACTATGTATGCAAGATGCGGCTGCATGAGATATGCTGAATATGTATTTAGTTCCTTACAAAAAAGAAATTCCATTTCTTGGAATGCAATAATAGCTGGCTATGGCATGCATGGCCGAGGACATGATGCTGTTCTTGCCTTCTCACAAATGTTAGAAGAAGGGTTCCTGCCCACAGATTTTACATTTGTTTCTGCTTTATCAGCTTGCAGCCATTCTGGTTTGATAGAAAAAGGATTGCAGCTTTACCACTCGATGGTTCAGGACTTTTACATAACCCCAAAACTTGTCCACTATGCTTGTGCAGTGGATCTATTGTCACGAGGTGGGCGTTTAGATGAAGCCATGCAATTAATTAAGTCTATGCCAATTGCTCCTGATGCATCAGTGTGGCGAGCTCTGCTTGGTGCTTGTCGAGTTTATTCTGAAACCAGATATGCCAAAATCATTTTTGAAAGGCTTGTTGAATTGGAACCAACAAATGCAGGTAATTATATTTTACTTTCAAATGTCTATGCTGCTGCAGGCCATTGGTCAGAGGTCAGAAAATTGCGAATACTACTTGAGAAAAACGGTTTGGTAAAACCTCCTGGAAAAAGTTGGATCGTGGTTAAAAATAAACTTCACCAGTTCACTGCTGGAGACAAGTCACATCCCGAAAGTGACAAAATCTATCAAAAGTTGTCTTATTTGGTGTCATCAATTAAAAGAAGGGGTTATGTTCCAGATGTTTGTTGGGTTCTCCATGATGAAGAACCTGAAGAAAAACTCAGAAGGCTACTAAGCCACAGTGAGAAGCTTGCTATTGCTTTCGGATTGATGAATGTTGGTGCTAGGTCACCAGTTTTGATCACAAAAAACCTGAGGGTTTGTGGTGATTGCCATGAATTTAGTAAGCATGTATCCAGATTGGTTGGCAAAGAAATAATTCTGAGAGATGGAAGTCGTTTCCATCATTTTAGGAATGGTATCTGTTCATGCAAAGATTATTGGTGAGGAGTGGTGTGATTGCTAGTTCAGATCAGGTTTCCATTTTAAGTCTATTCTTTTGGGGTAATAACTCTGGATCAAGAGGAAGGTCAAAGTTCAACTTATGAAGTTTGGAATCTTACTCTTTGTGTCTCCAATTACGATAATCCAGCGATAGACTGGATGCAACATTTTCAACTAAGTGCCACAATCCAGCAAATTGATTCTGTAAGATTATAGCGTTAAGTTACAATCATTAACTTCTCAAATTACATGTGAATCCTTTGGATATCTGTTAATAGTTGTACAAAGAACTAGGTTGCTCTGGACATTCATGATTGATTGAAGTTTTCTGTTTCAATTATGCCTATACTTTGTTGTTTTTCCAGCCATTTAACGTCCATAATATTTTAATTCCACTCCTTGTGCACATGTGCTCATGCTCTGCATGGTTGTGTGGAAAATGTTTGATAAATGGGCATTTAATGCACGTAATATGGGGCATTTCTTTTTCAGTTTTCCAAACTTTTCAATGTTGTGAGATGCAGACGGAAAAATCATGTAAACTTTGAGTGTTGTTTCTTGATATAAGTTCTTCAAATCTTCGGTAAAGCAGTAGATAAAAGTGCTAAAATATTTGAACAGTTCTTAAAATTCACAATTGACTTTTGACCATTTTGGTAGAGCTCTATATTTTTGGTAGCTGTAAAATTGTCTCTGCTATACCATAGGCCACACTTTTTGTGATCACATTAAACAAAATTAACTTATTAAAAAGCTATCCCAGAGAGTATTGCTAAGAATATGTTTATGAAGTAATTTTTTCCTTTCTAAAATAGCATATCTATGCCCAAGTGTAAATTCCCATCTAAAGCAAGATGGAGAACACGCTGGTTCTTTTGCCTTTTGGCCAGAGGCTAATCCACAATCAGCCTCCAAGTTAATTTTTTCTTTGTGCTTATGAGCTCAATTAACCACTACTGAGATCTCCATCTTTCCAACAATGTTAAAAAGAGCATGCTTGTAATTTTTGCTTTACTTTTAAAATTTCTGTTCAAAAGATATGCAAAAAGGTATATGTAGCCTTTATTCTAGACAATACATAGAGAACGTCTGATAATAATGATGAGTATTCCTGGTTCTTGATTTGACTTCAATTGCATGAGCATTGCCTTTTCTTCTTGAAGCTGGAAACTTAATTTGTCAGATGCAAAGGTGTTGACAAAGTCATAAATAGTACTGGAGGCCGAAGAATTAAGTGCAAAATTATTCATTTAGGTGACTGGTATGTCAGCTTTTCTAAAATTTTATAGCTCAGGTGATTGGTATTTTATTGTTTGTCTTCTGTTTTTGCATGTGCACCAGATGTAAGGTCCAAATTTGTCTGAATAAAATCTTCCCTTCTGGTGGAATATTTTTTGTAACTTCTTGTTAGCAGTAACAATAGGTGCAGTGTACTTTGCAAGTTTGTATGCTGACACTTAATCTTCTTTACATATTTAACTTATAACCATTTATTTCAGATTTTTCTTTACAAAAAACACGTGTTTGAAATTGTGATTAGGATTGTATATCTTATGTGATTGCTAATGTTCTTCCAAGTGAATGGTATGCTTTTCAGTTGAACTGGATCATTTGCATCTAGAAAGAAAGTATGACATCAATTTGACTAAGATAGCAATATCTGCTAGTATTAGATAATATGATAGTTTTGGTTCAGTTTATGTCATCTTACCATTTTGTAGAATCCTTCAATGAATATAGAATAGAGAAGGAAAGTAACTCCCCAGTTGTGCCCATTTTGAGTCCCAAAAACTAGCATGCTTCTCAGTTTTTCCGTTTATTCCTTTTTATGCCATTTTTATTTTGGCAACAAAATAACCAGCAAGTGAAAAATATTGCCATGCCTGGATACCACCTTCATCATTTAGGAAAAGAACACCATATTTGTTTTATTAGCAAAAATTTGTAGCTACTTAATGAGGAGCAAACTGCCTATGTATCAGCATACGTGAACATTTTATGATTTGAGTTTTTATCAGTGCATTTGCCTCTGGTCTTGAGAACTATGCCTCAATGCCAAATAGGTGGTATTGATAGTTTGGGTGTTCTACCCAACTCTCTTCTTCTACACATTCTGTTGTTTTTCCCTACCAAAAGTGCTGCAGGCAGCCATGTCAATCCTGTCCAGCAGATGGAGATTTTCACTTCACTTTCCGATATATATCTCATGTTATATAATTAGTATAAAGGCACCAAACATGACTGTGATTGGATGGTTCTATACTCCTTTAGATTTTGGGATCGAGTTATTCAACCATGAAAAGGGGCTTCTTTTAGAAAATTTTGTCTGTACGTTGCAAAATTTAGATGAAATTCATAGATTCCAAATTGACCCGTTAATTGCTTCTGTGCTTCAAATTAATGTCAAAGAACTTGAGATTTTGGTGGGTGACTATAATAGTGAAAGCTACTGTAGTTTCCCAGTATTTAATATCTACTCCTAGGATGTTTCTGTGCCAAGCACTAGTTAGTTTGAAAACAAATAGGAATTTGGATTTGATTATTGCTGAATTGGTTTCTTTACCAAGTGTCAAGGTTATGCACTTGGAGGGCTTTGGATTTGTTGATTAAGGCACTGTTAATAGGCTTATTCAGGGGTGTCATTTGCTTGAAGAATTGTTTCTGTTGGGCTCTTCACCATACCCAAAATCTTTATTTCTTGACTCCTCCTCTGAAAACTTTTTCCTCTCTGCCTTTCTGGTGTCCTTAGTATAGTAGAGATGTTTGCTATTACTGCAAGGTCATCCAATCCTGAACATTCATCCTATTATGTGAGTGGAGAGCCTGAAGTTGGTATAGATGGTGCAAATCTTAAAAATTCGACTAGAATAGTGAATCGTGTAGATTTTATTTGAAAACTCAAGTCTTTCTATGCAAAAGTATTGCAAGTTGGATCTCCCAGTTATCTTGGGAGGAAAATTGATTTACTTCATCAGCATGCTCTTAAATTTGTTGGGCGCAGGCAGACTGTGAAATCTCTCTTTTTGTCTGAAAACATTCTCAAGGTATAGCATGGTTTCCTTATATCTTGTTCATGTACTTTTGGCTTTGATTCTAAGCTTTAGAGAATTTTCCTCTCATGAGTCTGACATTGTTAGAAGCTTTATACTTGACATTACTTCTTGTTCGCATGCAAGCTCTCTACTTTTTGCAGCGGTTGGCCATTTTCGCATTCAAGCTTTAGTGCTTGAAGCTTCTGATTATGATACTGCAGATATTCTCTGAATTTGTATGTGGAAAATTTTGCTGAGAGCTTACTTGAAAGTGCCCCAAACCCTGAAGTACTTTTCTTCATAAAAATGAGCCTTACTTTTGATTTTGCTTGCTCTATGGTTTAAAGATGATGTCTAGAGCTAGAAACATTTTCCAGTGGGTGCACAAAATTAACAAGAATATTTATTTAATCCTTCTAAAGATATAGATGTCACGCTCACTCCCTGGACTTGTGGGTCCAAGATGTGATCAGAGTCTCAATTTCATCTTCCTAATTCAAAATGAATATCCTTAGTTAGATTTGACTGTTGATACTTTACTTAAGTATTGGTGTACAGCACTTTACTTTTTAGATATGGAATGGGATATTATATTCACCCCTCCATGTTAGAGTTTGTCTCCTCCAAAATCTAATCCAATAACATAATCTGGATTGTCCACTTAATTGTGTTAAATTCTAGAGATGGCTCGTACGGATTTTAGAGGTAACTCGTACAGACTCTAGTGACATAGCACTTAACTCTACACGAGATTTAATTCTTCCACTTCTTGCGTAGTCCAACCCAATATCATTGACTTAATTTCACTCTGTGCAAAGACTACATGAGATTCACTTTAATATCATAATATCACGCCTAGGGCCTACAGGCTCAAAATGCAATCAAAGTCTCAACCATTAACTCCAACTTGGGATATCCATATTAGGCTAGCAAGGATGGAGTCTAAATAGTTGGATTTGACTGTTAAAACTCCGGTGACTTCTTGCCCTGTGCATCCAGGGTGTGACTTCTAAATCTCAATAAATGTACTTAAATGGTAGGAATCAATTGTTGTGGAGCGTAGTCCGGTCAATTTGATACTCAAGAGTTGCATTGGAATGTGAGTTTTGCTGCTAGATTGATTCTCTTCATTTATTTATTCTTTGTCAAATTACAATAACTGCCATGATAGTAAAATTTATTTCACAATCTAACAGGGCACAAATTGTATACAGGCATTTTCTTTTGGCCACTGGGTGCACCTGTACCCACTTGCCAAGACGTACGCCCCCATGATCATTGCTTGTAGGTAGTTGAAGGAAACTAATATACGGTGTTTGATCATTTATTGGAGTATCAATAAAAGGAATGACAATGCATATTGAGAAAAAAGGATTATATATAAAGAAAAAGATACAATGTTCTGTATTTTTGCTCAATCACGCAAATAATCAGCCATGAGAGCAGTGACGGAGCCAGGATTTTTTTTTTTGGGGGGGTCAAAATTTTTTCCTAATAAAATTATTTTAATATATTATGTTCAAAATAATTTTCTTCTATTTAAATATATGACATCTAATAATATCAAATATTAAATTTAATTATAAAGATATGTCTATTCATAAATATGTGATACAATCATAACAAAAATTAACAAAAAAGATAACATTTGATTAAATATCTTATAACATTACAAACCATCCAATTTGCACATCATGAGAAAATGCTCTCCAATATGTCACCTATGCAATAGATATATATATATATATATATATATATATATATATATATATATATATATAACCATGTAATACAAATGTAACTATTTTCAATTGAAAAAAGATAAAAATTATATTAACATACTTTGAAATTTCAACATCTTTTCTTAGAAGTAAATTGAGCTCTACGTTCTTTCATAGAATTAAATTCATCTATGATTGAATCACTGCTAAATTTTTCAGCAACTTCCTTTTCTATATACACAGTTAAACAATCATTCAAGAAATTATCTTCCATCTTGTTTCTGAGCTTTGTCTTGATTATTTTCATGATTGAAAATGCCCGCTCTGTAGTTGCAGTTGATACAGGAAGAGTAAGAACAAGTCTAATCAATCTGTCAATAAGAGGATACATCACTGATTTTCTTGTCTTCACCAAGCCTTGACATAACCCATAAATACCAGATAATTCTTGCAATTCAGGATGCTTTGGAATGTCAAGCTCAAAATGTTGAAGTTCTATTCTTAGACGTACTAGTTCTTGCTCCATAAAATCATTCATTCATTCGGATAGAACTTCTTTGCAAGTTTACAAATATCATCAATCTTGAACAGCATAAATCTATTTCTAGGATCTAAAACAGTGCTCAAAACAAGCAATCCCATGGTATGATCATTAAACCTGCTATGTAACTCTTGCAATTGATAATCAATTGTTGCAAGAAATATATCCACTCGATAATAATGCACCACACTAATCTCATCATGATGACTACGAGATTTACCACGTCTTGCAATATATTGAGCATTCATATCCGGGATATCAATTTGATGTTGCTCACAAAATAATTTAACTTTCACCAAGAAATCATCCCATCCCGAATCTCGAAAATTCTTCAGTACCTTTGTTGTGCTTGAGACAAGATGCATTGCATTCAAAATATCTTGAGATTTACGTTGCAATGCCATACAAAGATGATGAGTGATTTCCATAATGTCTTTCATAAGATGCAATGTGAAAACAAGCCCAAAGGATAACAACTGATTCAAAGCAAAATTAGCATCTCCACGTTGAGAGTATGAACCTCCATCTGCTGCAATGTTACTTAAAACCACACAAGTAGCATTGAACATTTTCAGTAAACTAGAAATAGAATCCAAATGAGATCCCCAACGATTATCTCCAGCTTGTTTTAAAATGCCAATTTGATTAAACCCCCATCCAGTTTCAAGTTCACCATTAGCAATCTTAGTAGCAATTTCAATTGCCTGAGCCTCCTTTAATTCATCATTACGTTTGCTAGATGCAGTAACAATGTTGATAATAAAAACTAAATTGGAGAAGAATTGGTGAACAGAAGCTACTTCTCTAGAAGCCGCAACTAAAGCAAGTTGAAGCCTATGGGCCAAACAATGAATGTAATAGGCATATGGACATTCATGGCAAATTAAAGCTTGCAAGCCATTCCATTCACCTCTCATATTACTAGCTCCATCATACCCTTGTCCACGGATGTTATGAATGGCCAAATTATGTTGAGAGAGAGTAGAAAAAATAGCTTCCTTCAAAGTTAAAGCCATAGTATCACGGACATGAATAACACCAAAAAATCGTTCACAAATGCATCCTTCCTTATCTACATATCTCAAAACAAGAGCCATTTGCTCTCTTTTGGACTCATCACGAGCTTCATCAACTATAATGCAAAATTTTGAATTTCCAATCTCTTGGCAAATTTCTTTTCTAACCTTATTGGAAAATATATAAAGAATCTCCTTTTGAATTTCAGGAGATGTATAGGAGGCATTGGATGGAGCATTTTCTTGAACAACACTTGCAACCTATCCATTAATAGAGCATAATTATAATTTTATAAAGATAATAACTAAATGGAAGCATATTATGAATTAAAAAGATTTCTTTCAAGCATGGATATTATATAAATTCAAGAAAGAATGCAAAGCTGGAAGAAAATCATTCTTACCTTATCATTATAAGAAGCCAACAACTTAATAAGTTGATGAAAGTTTCCACGATCAAGAGATTTTTCACTCTCATCTCATCCTCGAAAGGCACAACCTTGAAATGCAAGCCATTGAACTACATCAATTGAAACTTGAAGCCTTAATCGATTAATCTCAACTTGCTCAAAACTTTGTTTCTCAATGAAAGTTCCAATGTGTTGAGAAGCATTCATCAAATCATTGCAGGCTTTAACAGCAATTCTGTGAAATGAGTTAGGATTTTTCCCCACATGTCGTAAGAAAGCACAATTATCTCCATTATTGACCTTCTTCCAATTCTTAAAGCCACCAAGAACAAATGCATTTAATTCAACTCGTCCATTCGGCTTACTAAATAGATAGCATGAAAGACAAAAGGTAGCATCAATTGATAGAGAATATTCAAGCCAAGATGGAAACAATTCAAACCAAGCGCTACAAAAAAGACGAACATGTTTCTTTGAACCACTTGAAGGGTAATTTTCAAGCTTAACTTTTCATAGAATTAAATTCATCTATGATTGAATCACTGCTAAATTTTTCAGCAACTTCCTTTTCTATATACACAGTTAAACAATCATTCAAGAAATTATCTTCCATCTTGTTTCTGAGCTTTGTCTTGATTATTTTCATGATTGAAAATGCCCGCTCTGTAGTTGCAGTTGATACAGGAAGAGTAAGAACAAGTCTAATCAATCTGTCAATAAGAGGATACATCACTGATTTTCTTGTCTTCACCAAGCCTTGACATAACCCATAAATACCAGATAATTCTTGCAATTCAGGATGCTTTGGAATGTCAAGCTCAAAATGTTGAAGTTCTATTCTTAGACGTACTAGTTCTTGCTCCATAAAATCATTCATTCATTCGGATAGAACTTCTTTGCAAGTTTACAAATATCATCAATCTTGAACAGCATAAATCTATTTCTAGGATCTAAAACAGTGCTCAAAACAAGCAATCCCATGGTATGATCATTAAACCTGCTATGTAACTCTTGCAATTGATAATCAATTGTTGCAAGAAATATATCCACTCGATAATAATGCACCACACTAATCTCATCATGATGACTACGAGATTTAACACGTCTTGCAATATATTGAGCATTCATATCCGGGATATCAATTTGATGTTGCTCACAAAATAATTTAACTTTCACCAAGAAATCATCCCATCCCGAATCTCGAAAATTCTTCAGTACCTTTGTTGTGCTTGAGACAAGATGCATTGCATTCAAAATATCTTGAGATTTACGTTGCAATGCCATACAAAGATGATGAGTGATTTCCATAATGTCTTTCATAAGATGCAATGTGAAAACAAGCCCAAAGGATAACAACTGATTCAAAGCAAAATTAGCATCTCCACGTTGAGAGTATGAACCTCCATCTGCTGCAATGTTACTTAAAACCACACAAGTAGCATTGAACATTTTCTATGATGAAATAAATATAACTAAAATAGTCAAATTTTCACTTTTAGTACAAATGCAATCACTAATTCATCATTGTGTTTGTGCTTTTTTTTTAGAAAAAAGTGTTATTCTATTAAGTGTAATTAGAAATTTAGTATAAATGTATTAGTAAATTTAGTATAACTAATTAATAAATTATATTAGTAGACATGTATAATTATTCATATAATTGATAATATCAATTATATTACATAAACTAATATACATTATATAATACATCTAATTAATAATATCATTATCATAAGTTTATAACTAATTAATTTACATATAATATATAGTCATTTATATATATATATATATATATTTTTTTTTTTTTGCGGGTGGCAGGGCGGGGGATGGGGCGGGGAAGTATACCCCCGCCCCCGCCCCGTTTCTAAGCGGGGGAATCTCGCCCCCGCCCCCCTCCCACCCGCCCGCAACTCCGCCCCAGTAGCCCCTCGCGGGGCGGCACACTCCGCCCCCATGCCATCCCTAGAATGAGACGGGGTACACCCTGCCCCCTGCTCCCGTCTAAGCGGGGGAAAATCACCCCCACGCCCCGTGCCATTAGTCCCCCGCGGGCGGGTGACCGCCATCCTTTGCTAAATTGTTAACAGCAAAATGTAACCGCTCAGTAACTATAGCGACGAAGCCAGGATATTGAAGAGATATATATGCATAGGGTTCAGTTCTAGATACTTTCTCTATATACCGAGGAAGAATACTAAAGATAAATTAGAAACTTTAACCATGAAATCACACACTCAGCTTTCATTAAACAGAGGGTAAAGATGTGAAGCCAATTTTAAAATCTTAACAGTTGGAGGCGGCCATCTTCCTAGTTCATTGGATTGAATGAATGAAAACGAAAGAAAATTTTTATGTATGGAGGCGATATGTAGTTTACAATGAAGAGAAAAATTTGCCAAGGGCTTTAAACAGGAATGGGCTTCAAAATAAATTTATGATATATATCCAACGGAAAAGCTTTTTGGCCTGTTGCGTTTTGGTGTAAGTATATTAAGGAATAGAACCATGAACGGAACTAGTGTCAATCTGGTGTTTGTGTTGGTCTTAGTATCAATAGTTTGAAGTGCCAATTTTCACCAAATTTTGCTTCATATGGTCAATGGTATCGGCGATGATTTAGTACTTTCAGCATAATATTAACAATTTGTTATCTAGACGAAGTTTATTCAGAATGCCATTCTCAACATACTAACTCCATTTTGGTGTGCTTCAGTAAGACATAATCTGGTAGTAATCAGCTGGTGTTGAAGGCTCGAATGTGTCATCTTTTTCTCTTTGTATGATTTGTAAGAGGTTTGAGTCATATCAATAAAGAAGGTGAGACTATTACTTTAATTAACTAATTTCTAACCATTCTTCACCATTCATCCACCATTTTGAAGGTTTATAGAGTAATTCTACAAAGATAAGGTGCCTTTAGCGTTAGGCAATCGAACAAGAATGTCAAAAACAAAGCTTCTTTGCCATATTCAAAGAAATTTGAGGAATCCTAGTTAAGGTTTCCATACACATTCATACCTTTTGAACGATTAAGATTTACGCAATTTGATAGTACTATTTTACTTCAATTCTTTTTAAGTTACTAATGGTGATTTGGAGCAATCACCTTCTCTAAAGCCGCATTTCATCTCAATAAACAAGCACTTACCCATCTAAAGCACAATTGCTTTTGGTCGATAAGCGTTTCGCAGAACACATAAGAATCGTGAAAGAAAAAAAAACAAATGGCGTCCCACATCGAAGAAAATTCCATCTTTTTCGCCTTAATAACCAATGCCTAGGAGCAGCCTACCGCCGAGCTTTGGTCGCGCGAGCTTTGTACCCGAAGTGGGAATTAAAGTGTTGGAAAAACGTTATTGGCCAGATGGTAGGGCCTTGTGGAGCTACTCACCGCCTGCCCATCTCCAAGCGGAGAGCTGAGGGGCCATGTGGTTTGAGGGCGGAGGCCTGGACCACTTAGCTCCTAAAGTGGAGGACATCTGCGTGAGCTGGCTTGACAGAGCACAGAACTTTCCGCTCCTCCAGTGGAAGGATAACAGCTAGAGCTGCACAAGTCCACTATTGCCAAAATGGCATCCTAATTGACAACGCACTTTTTGAAAATTTTTTTTGAAATTTCTATAAGGAAAAGTTGTGGCATAACAAACTTTTTTTGGGGGCAATAAAGAAAAAGAAATGGTGACTGTCAAAGATAATAAAGGTTTGAGTTTCCCAATACTTGCAATCAAAAGAAAATCTCCAAAAAATAAATAAAGGAACGGTAAATAACCGAATTTTTCCATTTTCAAATACTGTTCACCGAAAATCTCTTCACATTTGGTTTTTTGAGTGATAAAAGTCTTATACCTACACATTTTCAAGTTTAATCATTCTTTATCAGCCCTATTAAATGAAATGCCAAATATATGCTTGAAGTTTTATATCATTGTTTACTAAAAATAACTCTTATTGCATCTCAGAGAAGACATCAGCCCTCTGAAAAATCAATTTAATGGCTGCAAAAAGATGCACAACATGACATACCAAACTACATTGTAAATGTAGTGGTAGAGAGACATTTCAAAAAAAAGATTTGATTTAACAAAAGTTTTTTACTTTTCAAATAAAATCAACCTCAATACATAAAACGAAAAAAAAGAACCAAAAATAAAACTTTGCATAAGATAATTTGGGAAAGAGATGGATTAAAAGAAGGGACAATTTAAGTGGCATGAGAAGGATATATAATTAAAAGATGAGCTGTCCACTTTTATTTAAGAAAAAAAAAAAAGATGGCTTTCAATGGGCCAAAAATTTGTTGCAGGAGTGTCACAGCCCGAATGGTTCTCTCTCTTATGGCTTACAACAGCACCTCTCTGAGCTCTGCGGGACAGCCGGGAACCTTGTAACTTCACAAACATAAAAATTATCGTCCCAAGATCAGAATTATCTCCAAATCCGCTGTTCTTGCAAGGTAATCTCTCTTCCCTTTACCTTTATTCGTTCAAGTGTCAGTCACTTTGTTTAGGATAATTCCTTTACTTCTTTCTGAGGCTCGAGTTTATGTTGCTTTTCGTAAGGTAGGGTGTGGAGGAGCCAATTCGCCAATGCCACATGTCAATTCGGACGTGTCAGTTCGTGCAAGTCAGCTCGGGCCTTTGCAAAGGCCAGCTCGGGTAAGACACCACCTCCTAGTTGGGTGGGCCAAAGCTCCCGAGCCTTTTGGGACCAACAGACAGAATCCAAAGAGGAGTCCATCTCTAGTAGGGCTCATAATCCTATAAGGAAACTACTACCAAGAGCCCTATAAATATAGCACAATAAAACAAAACAAGGTACGCCATCTACAGTAATCAATACTGTTGCTCTACTCATAGCTATAACTGACTTGATCGTCGGGGCCACAATAGGGAGCTAGCTCCGCTGTTCACTCTCTTGCAGGTCAGCTCGGACCACCTCGTTGGTACCAATTCACTCCTTTTCAGTTTGCTCGGCCCGCTACTACTCTGTTGAGATCGCACTCTTAGCTATCACATCAATTGGCACCATCTGTGTGAACACTCATCCATGCTTTGCAAAATATGCCAAGGACTAGATCTCAGAGAAACGCTGATGAATCCAAGAGGAACGACCGAAGTGACCCCCAAAATCCCCACCATGGACCAACTTCTGGTGAAAAAAGGACGGAGCCCTCGTGGATCCCGCCTGAATAGCTGGTACAAGCGGTGGCGAAGAACCTGCCCACCTTCGAGGCGATTGTGAACTGCTTGAAGGGTCGGACTGGAGATTTGCACGATCTGGAGCTAAGGGGCAAGATGATGGGAAGATTGGAGCCGTCAGAATCTGGAACTAGAAGGCCCTACCCCAGACAAAGGTGAGTGCGGAAGGAGCTCTCTCACGAACAGATAGAAGTTCTGGAGTCCTCTCGCGGAAACTCCCGAGCAGACCACCATGAACCCTTTCGGGGAATCCCTCGAAGAGAGTACTCTTCGAGAAAATGGGAGTATCCGGTTCAGGATGAACTGGACCTATTGTTAGATCCAGAGGGGAACAAGTATTCTACCTTCCCTATTGTGCCAGACATCGAGAACTACCCTCTGCCCGCTAAGTTCAAAATTCCGACCATGAAATCCTAGGACGCGACTACGGACTCGGAGGATCATCTGTTCGCATTTTTGACCCACATGCGCCTACAAACGGCTGCCGATGTAGTCAGGTGTAAAACCTTCCCCATGTTCTTAGAAGGAAAGACGCGTCAATGGTTCTAGAGATTACCTCCCAGGTCAGTTCGGTCATTTAGTCAATTCGCTCGACTATTCGCTGCTCAATTCGTTTCGTCTCGGACCTTCTCTAAGAACACTGCTCACTTGATGACAATTCACCAAAAGCCTGAGGGGTCACTGCGCGAGTATATGGTGCGGTTCAATAATGAGTCTCTCCAAGTCCGAGATCGGGACGACAAAGTTGTAATGGCCGCCTTCATCAACAGATTGCGCATGCAGAAATTATATACCGAGTTTGTGAAAAAACCTCCCAAGTCAGTTCGCGAAATGCTGGACCAAGCTCATGAGCGAGCTAATGCCAAGGAGGTTAATTGTTTGAAAAGCGAACAGGAGAGATAGAGGGACGAAAGGAGGAGGAAGAACATAGACCCGAGGGATGCGCGAGGAGGTCAGGTGTGAAAGAATACCTTCGATCGTTTGTCAAGAAACCGACCCTTCAAAGGAGAGAGTGGATGGACCCCTCTTACAGCACCAAGAGCTCAGGTTCTAGCGGTGATGGAACAGGAAGTTCTCTCTTGATCTCCCAGAAAACTAGCCAATAATAAGAGCAGGAGGGATCAAAGTTTGTACTGTGCTTACCATCGAGACGTAGGACATGATACAGAGGACTGTCGAGACCTCAAGAAAGACATTGAAGAGCTGATCAAATGAGGACACCTAAGACAATTCATACGGAATAGACGAACT